ATATGGAGCCTGATGCACAGCAGGATCTTTTTAAAACATTTTATTTATTCATTTATTTTCATTTTATTTGAAAGTCACAGAGACAGATACAGAGAGAGATCTTCCATCAGCTGGTTCACTCCCCAAATGCCTTCAATAGCTGGGATTGGGTCAGGCCAAAGCCAGGAACCTAGAACTCCATCCGGGTCTCCCACGTGGGTGACAGAGATCCAACTACTTGAGCCACTACCTGCTGCCTCACAACGTGTACATTAGCAGGAGGCTGGACTCAGAAGTGAAGCTGGGACTCCAATACTGCGTATGTGCAGGCCAAGCAGCGTCTTAACCATGCACCAAACGCCCAACCCCAGAGGAGAATCTGAACGAACAAAAGCTGTTTTGTCATTCTTCCTATCCAGTTAGGGTCTTTGATGCAGCATGTGTTCATCCCACGGGGCTCTGCACACAAAGGCCCTTTAAGTGCTCCTTGGCTGCCTGGGAGTGCTATGCTCTTAAGCATAGGCTGCCTTCAGGGAGGTAAGACGTGGACAGGGACGCCTGTGAGACAAGGCAGGAGGGACCTGCCAGCAAGCGCCCCCTGGGCCGCAGCTCCTGCTTCTATTTGTTTTCTTTTAAAATACTTTTTAAAGCTTTTTCTTTTTCCAGCACAATTCTAATTAGAACATGTGCTTACTGTAGAGAACATGGAATCTGCAGAAGAGAAATAGAAATGGCCTCTCCCAGGAAAGGAATTTGTACAAGAACACTTCAAAAGTTTATAGAATGTGGAATTAATTAAAAGATAAATTTATTTTGGTGCAAAAAAAATTTGAAATCCATGTATACTTTTCTTATAATACATGTTTCATGAACTTTTTGAAGATCCTTCACATGCACAGATTCCAACATTTTTTTGCACTAAAATAGACTTTTAATTCCATACTTTTTTATGTATCCTCATATTAGTCAGTTTTCTGTTACTTTAACAAAATACTTGATGCTGGGTACTCTATATGGAAGAGAGGTTTATTCAGCTCACAATTTGGGAAGCTCAAAGTGTAAGATCAGGCGGCTCCTTGTGTTGGCCTCTGTTGAGGTTCCCTGGGTGGCAGAGAAAACAGGAAGAGAAATGCCTACAATGCAGAAGGGGCCAAGTGCGTGGAGTGGCCCCAGTTTCTAACAACCCACTCTAGCAAGAGCTAAGTCGCTGTGTGAGCCCAGCATGATTCCCTTTGCAGCACCCTCACTGACCCACTAGGTCCCACCCACTAGAGGTTGCACCACCTCCCAGCATCAGCACCCTGGGAACCAAGCTTCCAGTATGTAAACCACCAAGGGTACACACCGCATGCAAACCAAAGCAGCACTGTTAATATTTTCAAAAAGTCCCCTACTGCCATACACTCCGTTTCATACAGTTGGCCTCATAGTAGATATATAATTTAACATCCTAGGATTTTGTTTTTGTTTTCTTTTTTCCATAAACATTGAAGGCATTCCAACAATAACTTAATGGCTTCATAAGAGTAAATCACACAGTTGGGAATATGACTCAGAATCAGTGGACAAACTTCTAATTGCAGCTTCACCAGGGATTAGCCACATGAAAATGGGCGAGGGACTTAATTTTTCCTGAGCCTCAGCTTCATTCATTTGTGAATTGATGAGGGAGTACAGATTAAGTACGCATCTTATAAAGTTGTTGTAAAGAGAAATGAGACAATTATATGAAACAATTAGCTTGGTGTCTAGAACATAGTAAAGAATTAAATGGTAGTTATCCTAATTATCACTATTAGTCTATAGTCATTCCTCTATTACGAATATTTAGGATGTTTCTGAGTTTTTGTTGTTTGTTTTGATTCTCATTTTATCTGAAAGGCAGAGAGACAGACAGATAGAAATCTTCCATCTGCTGATCCCCTCCCTAAATGCCCAGAACAGCCAAGGCTGGGCTAGCTAAAGTCAGGAGCCCGAAACAAAACATGAGTCTTCCATGTGAATGGCAGGGACCCAAGTCCTTGAGTCATCACTGCTGCCTCCCAGGGTGCACATTAGCAGGAAGCTGGAATTAGAAACAAAACTGCGCTTACAACCCAAGGCTCCAGTATGGTGTGCGGGCATCCCAGGTGGCATCTAACTGCTGCACCAAATGCCTTCCCCCTCTGGTTTATTTATAAATAAACAATTGTTATCATTTTAAGCTTAAATCCCTTTCCACATTTCGAGTCTTTTCTTAGGGCACATAAAGCTTTTGGTCCCAGGTATAAACGTTCAGAAGTTCAGGGTCTGCAGCCAGGCTGCCTGGGCTTCCGTCCCAGCCATGCTACTCCCTGGCTGTGTGAGCCTGGGAAAGTCACTGAGACCGCTCTCCTCTCTCTGCTTCAGTTTCCTCTTTAAAATGAGAGAAAAATAGTATCATTTGTTGTGAGGTTTAAATGGGATAACAGATGCAAACCACTTGGTAAAAAACAAAATGAAATTAACCAATGTCATTATCATGCATACCATCAATTATACACTTTATCTTATTCATCTCCTGCAGTGTTTGGCACTGGGCTAAGCACACAGTAGACTTCCAAAAACGAATGCATGTCACATTCAGCTGAATTTAAAGGTGATTTTGCGGCAGTTAAGATACCCCTGGGGAATGCCCAGATCCTATCTTGGAGTGGCTGGGTCAAGTCCTGCCCCTTCTGATCCGACCTCCTGCTAATGCATCTGGAAGGCGGCAGGTAATGGCTCAAGTACTTGGGTCCCTTCGACCTATGTGGATAGTGTTCCTGGCTCCTGGCTTTGGCTGGGCCCATCCATGGCTGTTGCAGGCATCTGGGGAGTGAACAAGTAGATGGAACATTTCTCTCTCTCTCTCCTCTCAAATAAGTGGAAATTGGTTGCTATGAGTGTTGGCTGAGTACTCTGTCCCTCCTGCAGAGGTTAGCCGGGGCCAGTCCTCCCAACGTGTTCTGTCCACACCCTGCCTGCTCCCATCCCATTGAGTCTAGCCTGTGTCTTTGAAGGAATCTCCTTTTTGCTTCAATTCATTGTATAGAATTCACTTGTCACAGAATTTACTTAGCAAACCCCCAAATAACATTAAGACCCCTCCAGAAGCTCCTGGCAAACCAGGCCAGAGTCCCTCTCTCCACTGCTCCGCCCAAGGCTTTGGGCCACTTCCTAAGATTTAGACCCATCGCCCTTTTCTTATTTCTCACCCACAGCCTTTCTCAATGTCCTGAGGGCATCGGATACTTCATTCCATGCTTGAGGATTTGAGCACCTATTACACCTATTACGAACAGGAGACTGGATGCCAGACACTACCCAAGTTACCTCCTACCTAATGTGGAAACTCAGCCTGCAAACCAAATCTTAGTTCTTACTGTGAGCAGAAATAAACATTCCGTACTTCAGAGCCAACCCCTTAAGTAAGCACAAAAGATATCATCCCCACACATATGAGCACACACACCACAAAATCCAATGGGAAGACTGGCTTATGCCAAATGATGGGCTCATGTAAGTATCTGGAAAGGACAGAAGCTGGTGTGAGAGTAATACACCACTCATAATAGCTGCTGCTAGTTTGTTGTGTAGCTACCTCCAGGGGAAATGGTGCCACTTGGGAATTGATGGGTGAAGATGATAAATTTCCATAGGCTGGATGTAAGGGATGGATGGTCAAGTGGCCTACTTAACATGATTGAAGTTTCCCAGTAAGAATTCTCCTACCACAAAGCTGGAAACTCAGGTCTTAGATTCTCAGAAGTAATTTCCACCTTGCTAGGTGTTACTCCACGTCCTGATACATCACTCCCAAGCCAACTGACAGTTCACTCATTCCACAAAAGTCTACTAGGTATCTACCATAAGTAAGGCACAATATTAGAATTAGTGCATTAGTCAGAACAGAACAGAAAAGAACAGAAAAGACAAATGCATGGCAAGCATACTATCAATCCCCTGTTCTTTGCCCAAGGCAGACACCCATCTTCCTAAGAGCCTACCCATGGTCTCAGAATCCATGTCACCTTTGGTTCTAGGCGCTCACTACCAATTGAATGGGATTTATACACCATATTAAATTTCTGGTGACCTTGGTGCTAGAATACTGTCAACACTTAGAAAAGGAAGTCCAAGCAGCAATAAGACATTTGGGGATGAGGTGGTCCAACAATGCCATCTCAGAGTCTCTGTGACAAGCTGAGAGAGGCTAAGAGAACAGTCTGCACTGTGACCTTGAGCAAGTCATTCACCTGGTCAATCTTCAGTTTTCCTATTCACAAAATAGGGATTATCAAAGCAATACCTATGTCACAGGGTCGTTAGGATGAGGAAATGAGATGTTGCCACGTAAGGCATTTAACAAAGCTCGTCCACGAGTGAGCATTTTGCTTTTATTAATTAAATACAGCTTATGTTTAAGTAAAGAAGAATAAAATAAATTACCTTATTCCAGACAACTCAGTAGAAGGATACTGGACACAAGTTCTAGAGCTAGTGTTACCTTATTTCTATGGGAAATGTGCTTGCTGAAGCACAGAACTTGTTAGAAATCGCTCCAGAATGTAGAGATGTGTCCACTAGGACATGTATTTCTTGGCTGGAGCTCTGCCCCACCCTGAAACGGGCCCCAACAGACACAGGCAGAAGAGTTAAGTGGCATAAATCCTTTGGCTGATGAAAGGGGACCCTGGCCAAACACAGGAAATACTCCAACAGGACACACACCCAGGGATTCTTACTGCTCTCCTTTTCTGCCAACTTTTGTTGAGTACTACTTACCATTATTATATCAGAAATATAATCTAAGTCCTGTATAGATATTTAGGAAATAGAGGAGAAAGAAGAGAAAAAGCATTATAATCCCATCACTCAGGAGTTTGGGGTGGGGACATTGTTAACATTTTAGTATTTATGCATCCAAGTTTTTCCTCTGTATTTTTAATATTTTTAAGTATGGCATTTTCATTTTAAAATTCCTACTTAAATATTCTCTCCCCTCCACACACACTCCCCAGTTTATCATTACCAGTTCAAGATTCAGTTCATCAATCAAATTGAGAAGCCACTGGAACCAACTTTTACCATGTCACTTCTCGGAACAAAAGAGGAAATGCAGAAAATCCCCATCACGCTGTGAGTATGAACTGTGGACCCTGCCTGTGGTGCTCACACTCTTATTTCTATCAGAGTCAGATGGCTCAGACCAGACTCAAGTTACCTTTCACATCCCCTTATGTCTGCCCCAAACAGCCCATCAAATAGGACATGCACCCAAGCCCGCCCCTTGCAGCCCTCAGCCTTGCTGAGTTCCTCCTACTGCAGCCAGCATGTGCAGTGAACCAGGGTAAAGGCAGGGCTGGGCAGAGGCAAGCCAGAGGAGGCCCCACCAGGCTCTGCCTTGCAGGAGGAAGATCCGAGAAAGGTGGACAGGTGAGGGGCAGAGCAGTCCACAAGAAGACCCTGAGTGCCTTTCCCATGGGTTCTAAAAACCATAACTCAAAAATAAAACTGGGTTTTACCACTCAACTTGGCACAGATCTCCAATCTCAGCCTGCAGTGCCAGCCCAGCCCATCTGTCCTTCCCCCTGTTACACACCTGCTCTGTACCCCAGCAGTGGCCTCACAATGCCTCACTCTCTCTCTCTCTCAGACACCCCCAGCTTCACTGGCTCTTTCCCCACATCTTGGCCCTCAGCACTGACTCCCGTGGGAAGTGACACCAGTCCTTCGCCCACCCCAAGGGCAATCCATAGCTTGCTTCCTCCTGAAGACTGCCCCCAGCTCAGATCTCTGCTCGTCACCCTGCTTCAGTCCTTCAGCGAGGATTGCTCGATTCTCCGTGGAGAATGTGCCCGAGAGGACACTATCCTTACGATGCTCCCAGTCCAGCTGAGAGGGTGGGTCCCTCAATGACTCTTCATACCGCACTGCGGGAAGAGCTATGATGAGCCATGCCAGGGAGCCCTCCGCCCACTGCCTCGCTCTAAATCTAGTACTACCTCTGCACCTGCTACAATCTCTCTCCAGGGGATCATTCCCAGTAGTGGCAAGGGCTTCTAGCTGCTCTGTCAATGTTGGGAGATTTTAATGTCTTAGAGATTAGTGAGTAAAGCTGATAATGATACCTCAGAGCTTGCATTTAAATCTTGCTCTTAATTGGGTCCTGTGTTTCCTGGGTGGTTTTTCTAGTATTGTTAGGCTTTGTTGTTTTAATAGAAGCGTCTGTTTCTGCATGATGGGGAGGGGGAGCATTATCTAGGAGAGAAAAGTGTGCATGACTCAAACCTATGAGAACTGAACCACCCAGGAGCTATTGCTGAAGCCCAGCATCTCCTGGAAGGCTGTTCTGATTCATGATAGCAGGAATCTTCTTTATATGCTCACACAGAAAACAGTGATCTACCCTGTGTTACTGCCGGGAAAGCCTGTTCACCCCGTCACACCTCTTAGTATCTCCTTTAATAGTCCACGGTCTCTTTAAATAGTCCACGGATCACCAGTTTGGGAAATGCAGCCACAAATCCCAGCCCACGTCACACATTTTGAATGTGCTTCGACACCACTTTGCTATTCAGACTCAGCTGATGGTGCCTGTTTTCCTTTGTGTCTTCAAGGGGCGAGGGAATTACTAGTAATAAGACCTATTCCTTTCTGATCACGCTGAATTTGGATATCGGCGAGCTGATGGTGATCAAGTTCAAATGGGAAAACAGCGCAGTGTGGGCCAACGTCTGGAATACGGTGCAGACCATCATCCCCTGGGGCATAAAGCCCCGAAACTCGGGCCTCATTCTGAAGACCATCAGAGTCAAAGCCGGAGAAACCCAGCAAAGGTGATGGTGGAACCACCCTCCCCCCAACATCAACGAGGGTACTGCAAACAGTTCATGGGAACATGGGATTAAAAGAGTAGTCTGTTCTGGTGCAAAAAGATTTTGAAATTCATGCATAGGTTTTTTTTTTTCATGATATGCACTTCTTGTGAACCTTTCTTAAAAGATTTATTTATTTATTCAAAATGCAGAGTGACAAGAGGAAGAGACACACAGAGAGATCTTCCATCTGCTGGTTCACTCCCTAAATGGCTGCAATGGCCCTGGCTGGGCCAGGCTGAAGCTAGGAGTTAGGAATTCTGTTGGGGTCTCCTATATGGGCAAAAGGGGCCCAAGTATTTGGGCCATTTTCTGCAGCTGTCCCAGGCACATCAGCAGGGAGCAGAATCAGAAATGGAGCAGCCAGGACTCAAACCGGTGCTTCAATATGTGATGCCAGTATCACAAATGGCAGCCACGACTTTTTGTGGACTTTCTGAAGACTCCCTCACATGTATGAATGTCAAAGATTTATTTACCAAAATAATCTTTGGATTCAAGTTTCCATGAACTTTCCAAAGTACTCTCATATTAAGCATCTGTGTGCACCAGGCAGCTTCATAACACATACCCTCACTTGTCATGGGACGCAGATGTTATGGTGTCCTGTTGATGGAGCATAGATGCTCAGAAAGGTGAAGTTCCCTTTGCAAGTTCACGTGGCTGCAGGTGTTGGAACAGGATTTGCACCCAGGTCTTCTGCATCCCTGTCCAACCCCTCCCACTGCCCAAGGTTCACAGCTACCTGCCTATTAGCCAAACTTAAGAGTGCAATTGAGCCACCTGGTGATGTCGGTGCTTACTGTAGATGCACTATTTCTTTTTCATTGTTTACCCGGAGAAATGCATTGAATAGATCACAACCTCAAAATGTCGATTTGCCTCTCCCTGGGGTGGTGCCTTCCAATCTTAGATGCCACATGCTCACCAGGGGGCTTATAAAACATGCAGAATTCCTGGACCCACCTGCAGAGCTTGCGACTCAGCACGGTCTTGGGAAGGTCCCCAGATGCATGTTCTTTGGTAACAGCTCTAAGAAATTTAGATGTGGACCACCGGACTACTCTTAAGAAATGCTGCTCTGTGTGACTGATCCTCTACCCTGGCCCCAAAGTGCCTGGGGACAAGAAGGCTGAGAGTGGGGAGCAGGGAGTTAAGAGGAAGGAGGGCCCAGCTGGCCCTAGGATTTCTCAGCAGAGGGGAGGGATGCCCAGCACGTCTCACCATGGCAACCACATTTCTCTGTAGTTCTTGGTGATTTGCAAATTCTCTGCTTCCCAGGCCCTTTCCATCTCCACCCTTCTGTATTCAAGGAAACCTTCTATGCTGGGAAACCCATGTCTCTCTTTGGCTCATCCTTAGTAAAGCCAGAATACAGCAAGCTCCTAACCTCTGAACTATACTCCTGTGCCCTTTGGGTTTTGCTGCCAGAAGCCAGCCCATGGCAGATTTATGCCCCCCTCCCCGGTCCCTTATACAACCACTCTCTGAGATTTTATCTCCCTGGGATGCAAAATCCTGGCAATTACCAAGCACATACTCTGCAGCCAGCCAACAGATTTCTCCACACGATCAATCTGAGAAAATTAAACTGCTTCTCTCCTCTTACACATGTAGCCACTCTTGCCTGACTTCTGGGTCCCTGGGAACAGCACTACCTCTGAGCACCTCCCTCCCCGCATTCTCTTAGCCAGAGAGTAATTCCTCAGTGGGGGCCGCTGCTCACTATGACAGTTCTTTGTAACTTGACTTGCAAAGTGGTAGAAAACACAACACTATCTTCTCCACGGTGCACACCCACATGACACGGCATGGGAGGAAGAAAGAAGAAAGGGAAGAAAGAGAAGGATACCTAAAGGGTTCCCACAACACATTGGCCTCCTTAGAATTGTTCTCCCCAAGCTTTCTCTGTGTCTCTGAAATGGGTACTATGGGCTGTGCAGCAGGGGGCCTGAGGCTCACAGAAGGTACATGGCTCGGGGACATCACTAATAACTGTCGAAGCCCCACTAATAACTGCCTTGGGTTTGTCTGATCTATTGCCCTTTTGTTGCCTGGGTACTGTTTCCAACAGTTACTTCTGCTATTAGTTTTGGCCCCATTAACCTGACTTTCCATGGTCTAACCTAGCAGTTACAGTGCTGGACATAAATATATATGTATACATCATACTCAGGGCTGTAGGAAGCACATGCTTAAAAAGGTTGAGGGTAAAGATACAATGAGATTTATATTTTTAAATGGTTATTTATTTTTATCTACTCAAAAGGCAGAGAGAGAGAGAGAGAGAGAAAGAGAGAGAGAGAGAGAGAGAGATCTTCCATCCATTGGTTCATTCCCCAAATTCCCACAACAGCCAAAACTGGGCCAAGCAGAAGCCAGGAGCCTGGAACTCTACTGTGGTCTCCCACATGGGTGACAGAGACACAAGTAGTTGAGCCATCATCTGCTGCCTCCCAGGGTGCATAAGCAGGGAGCTGGATGCAAAGCAGAGGTGCCAGGATTCAAAATTAGGCACTCCAGTATGCTACGCAGCTGTCTCAAGTGGCTGCTTAACCTATCATATCACAACGTCTACACAGGGATCTAAATTTTTTAATTTTTAAATGCCATTTGCCTCCTGTTGTCTATACATACCAGGTAACATTGAGGGATTAAAAAAAAAAAGAACAAAAAAAATACCATATTGCGGCTCTTGGCAGGAAAAGACCTGATTAGAAAAATAAGACAAATGAAGTGTACTAATGGTGTGTTCCACCCCCAGGACTTCTCAGATTTAATGTGCACACAAATATCTGGGAGTCACACCAAAATGCAGGTTCTGTCTCAGGATGTCTGGGGTGGGGCCCGAGATTCTGCATTTCAGACAAGCTCCCAGGTGATGCTGTTGCTGCGGGTCCAGGGACCACACCTGGAATAGCAGGAGTCTAGTATCACACAGTCTAGGAAGTGTAGGAACGGAGACAGTGCAGGTTGGCGCTGTTGGGGCTATGCTGCAACAGGCCTCAAGGAGGCCAAGAGACATTCCTAGGGAGGCAGGCAGCAAGTAAAGCAACATGACTTCACTGTTTACCACCTGTGTAACCTCAAAGAATAACTTCAGGGATAGGCATTTAGCCTACCAGGGAGTCATCTGCATCCCAGATCCGAGTACCTGGGTTTGATCCCTGGCTTCGGCTCCTGATTCTAGCTTCCTGCGAATGCAGATCCTGAGAGGCAATGGTGATGGCTCAAGTAGTTGGGTTCCTGCCGTCCATGTGGGAGACCTGGATAGAATTCCCAGCTCCTGGTTTGGGTTCTGGCCCCAGCCACTGCAGGCATTTGGGGAGGGAACCAGCAGATGGGAGATTCATTCTCTCTTTCTCTCTCTCTCCCCACCCCTTCTATCTCCCCCACCCCCCCAAATCGAGGAGAATATCAGCTCTTTGAGCCTTAGTTATTTAATAATAAATAGGAATCATAATGTGTATCTCATGAGACTAATAACAGGCACCAGTTTTTTTAGTGCTTTTTACAAACCAAAATCCCAGAGCCAGGATGCAAGTACTAAACACTATACCCTTATTTTCCCTGCTAAGTGCAAGGAGTGGGGGCTGGGGGTGGGTAAAGTAGCTTGCCCTGTACCTCCAAGGGAGGAACTCAGTGGAGGTTATTTTCTTCCCCCAAAGGCACAGTCAGGGATGAGCAAGCTTGTGTGGTGGGGTAAAGATAAAGGACAGGAACTATTGGCCCTAGAGCAAAACATAAGTGGCTAAACAGAATGAAAAGATGTTCAGTTTCCACCAGAATCATATGAACACAAAATGAGACTCAATAAAGTTATCATTGGCCTCCCATTAGTTTGGCAGAAATTAAAAGACAGATAACATCCAGACTTGGTAAGGGTGTGGAGAAACGGGAGCTCTCAAATATCATCAGTCAAGGTTTAAGTCATAGACATTTTTGCTGGGGAATTGCATTCAACAGCTAACATAGTGAGTGCTTCTGTGGGTGCTTATGCCAGGCACTGTCGTGGCACCAGAGAGATGGCAGTGAACAGAGCAGCGTCCTTGGCTTCCTGGAGCTTCCATTAGCAGTATTTTAAATATGCATAATACTTACACCCAGAATTTGCCTTCTAAGGGTTGTAACATTTCCAGAGTATCTATGCACATACTCAAAATGTGCACAAAGAATATATATGTACAGAAATGCCTATTGTGCTGCTAATGGTAAATAGTAAACTAGTGGGAAAATCTTCATGCCCTTCAATAAGAAAATGCTAAGTGCGTTGAGGTCTCTCCATACAAGGAGATGTCACGCACCAGGTGAGAAAGAATGAAATACACCTCTGTGTACTGACATGAACAGTTCTCCAAGTACATTATTTTGGTGACAAGGAAAAATCGCAGGAAAATACATACAGGATAACCCCACTTCTACTTAAAAGAATCTCCATAGCTGTGTATGAACACTGCTGTATTTACAAATGCCCAGAAATGGGTCAAGAAAGAAAAAACAAACCCTGAAAGTGGAGAAGGGAGAGATGTTTTTCATATTTGGCTTCATGGGTCTCTGTATCATTTGACTTTTCCAAGAGTATGTTCATCAATTGCTCTTTTCACTTTTTAAATCTACAAATCTGATTTAGTAAAGACTCGAACTTGGGTGTAATGCAAAGAAAGAAACCATAGCTGGAATTCTCTGTGACTGCTCATGTACTGTGTGTGTGTGTGTGTGAGTGTGTGTGTTTCCAGATATAATCAGAGTTAATAACATAAAATGGGGGAGGGTATTCGGTACAGTGTAAGCCACTGCTCTGCTTGGAACATCTGCCTCCCATAATGAAGTGCCTGGGTTTGAGTCCTGGCTCCACTTCCAATTCTGCTCCATGCTAATGAAATTCCTGGGAGGCAGCAAGTGACGGCTTAAATACTTGGGTCCCTGTCACCTACATGGGAGACCCAGATTGAGTTCCCAGTTCCTACACATGTGGGGAATGAATCAGGGGATATGACATATTCATTTTCTCTCTCTTTCTCTAATAAAATTAAAAAAAAAAAAAACTTTAAAGATATTTTGAAAGGGTAAACTGGCAAGCTAAAGGCCCAAGGAGTCCAGCAGCTGGTTTTCCAGAGAGTCCCGGGTCACATAGAAATGTCCTCTCCAGATGGACCAGCAGCAGCACCCAACACAGGCCAGGGGCAGGGCTCACAGGACTGAGCTGGGCAGAGGCTGATGACAGTGGCCGCTTGCCAGGGACCTTTAGGAATGGCGTTGACTAATTGGAGCATGTCCAAAGAAGGCCAGCTGGGAGCTAAGCAGCCTAGCGAGGAAGATTTGAGGAGCCTCAAATGTGTGCCCTGGAGCCAGAGCAATGCAGTGAAAGGAACTACAGTCACCCTCAAGTCTTTGATGAGCCGTTCTGAGGGAGAACAAAGGAGGCTGCCCCCAGCTTTGCCTCCTTGCAGCCCCAAAACCCTCCCAGCGCAGAGCCCCAGGAAGCCTCCCACTGACTGCTCTCACTGATTCCCTTTTGTTTTTCTCTGAAATTATAGAAATATTTGCACAACATAAGATTCTAATGTATAAACATGTATCACATGCATGACATAGATTGAACAGTATCTGATAGAGGATGAACTGCTCCAGCGAGGCCCATCTAAAACTTAATGCTGTGTCTGTTTTACGTCTTCTCTTCAGAATGACATTTTGCTCAGAAAACATGGATGATCTGCAACTTCACCCGACCCAGGAGAAAAACTTCGTGAGATGTGAAGTAAACCCAAAAAAATTGAAGCTAAAGATCAAATGAGTTTTGCTGAAGACTCGGTGTAAAGAATAAATAAAAATTCATTTATTCCTTATGTGGGATGGTTGCCTTCTTGGGAAACAAAAATTATATAAACAATATTTTATTATAATATAATATATAGTATTATATATTATAATATATAGCATAATATAAGTAAAATTTAAATTTACATTTACTATTAGAAATGAAGCGCTTCAAAACTATATGATATCACTATTTTCAAGTGTTAGTACAACTAAAAATTTCTTGGTCGGATCGAATGTTAGTATGTGCAATTAGCTACACATGTAAGAATCATTTATACATGCTGTTTTGATTCACAATGTCCTTTACAATGAAGTCAAATTTCTCATAATCCCAGGGCCCATTTTGTGGCATAGTGGGTAAAGCCACCACTTACAACCCCAGCATCCATATGAGTGCCAGTTCGGTCCCAGATGCTCCACTTCCTAAACAGTTCCCTGCTAATAAACCTGGAAATGCAGAAGGAGACCCAAATACTTGGGCCCTGCCACTCTTGTGGGAGACCTGGATGAGTTCTTGGTTCCTGGCTCTGATTTGGTCTATCCCTAGCCATGGAGGTCATTTGGGGAGTGAACCAGCAGATGGAAGACTTCTCTCTCTGTTTCTCTCCGTCCCTCCTCCCTCTCTCTCCACACCTCTACCTCCACTTCTACCTCTACCTCTACCTTTCAAGTAAGTGAATACATCTTTAAAATGAAAATTTACCATATTCTCTCACTAGTTCATCATAGTCAGTTTTTTAAAGACTTTTATTAATTTGTTTATTTGGATGGCAGAGTTACAGAGAGGCAGAGGCACAGAGAGAAGGTGGGGGGAGAGAGAGAGTCTTCCATCTGCTGGTTCACTCCCCAGATGGCTGCAACAGCTGGAGCTGTGCCAATCCAATGCCAGGAGCCAGGAGCTTCTTCCAGGTCTCCCACTTGGGTGCAGGGGCCCAAGCACTTGGCAGTCTTCCACTGCTTTCCCAGGCCATAGTAGAGAGCTGGATCACAATTGGAGCAGCCAGGACTCAAACTGGCACCCATATGGGATGCCAGCACTGCAGGTGGCGGCTTTACCCACCACGCCACAGTACCAGCCCCTATCCTAGTCAGTTTTTATGAAAAGATATTTGTTACCTAATAGTGCTTCAAAGCAGAATTCTAATTAATCACCAGTTATGTGTCCCAAAGTACATTTTCCTGAAAACAATACAGCTTACCAAAAGTCGAATTCTAATAATTTTGATCATACAAATTATATATTTCAGTGAGCAAATACATAGAAGTAGAATTCTACTAAAACTACCCATGATAAAAATGAAAGTCACACAGCTGGTAATTTTAATAACTAAATTACTAATTAAAGAAATGTAATTCTATTTTACTAATGTTAGCAACAAATGATAATGGAAAAATCTAAATAGCTCAAAGAGTTTGCTTTGGACTGAATGTTTATGTCCTGCTAAAATTCATAAACTGAAATCTAACTTACAGAGGGAGGGCCTCCTGGAATGATTAGATCACGAGAGAGCAGCCCTCCGGGATGGGATTAGTGCCCTCCTGGAGGGAGAAAGCGCCTAGAGCTTTCCTCCCTCTGCTGCGTGGTATACAACAGGAAAGTGGCCACCAGCAATCCAGGAAGCGAGCTGTCACCAGACACCAGATCTGCCAAAACCTTGGTTTTGATGTCGTAGCCTCCAGAACTAGAAGAAAGAAATTTTTGTTGTTCAAACCACCCATTCTATGCTAAGATGCTAGAGCAGCCTTAACTGACTGAGCCACAGATACTGAATCTCAAACTGTTCTAAAAATGAAATAATGGTGTTCACCGATAAAGTCCAGCACAAAGCACATGAGATAAGCGGATCCTAGCTCTGGTCATGAGTTGGATATGCGTTTCAAGTAGCTCAGAAAGGAGCAGCATACTGTGCACATTCGACGACCTAACCTGAGACGCACAGAGATTGAGCTACGTACAACTCATAACCCACACTCTCTTCACTACAGCAGGGTGAACCAGGGCTTGCAAAACAAAGAAACGTCTCTTCTTCCTGAAGAGAAGTCTGCCTCTGCCTAAGGTATTTAAAATTATCTTTTGGGGCGGGACATAGTGATTAAGACACCACTCAGGATGCGTGTATTCCATAGCAGAATGCCTAGGTTTGAGTTGCGACTCTGTTTCCCACAAATGCACACCCTGGGAGGCAGCAGGGGATGGCTCAGGTACTTGGGTCTCTGCCACCCATGTGAGGGATCCAGATTGAGTGCCTTATCTTCTGACTTTGGTCTGGCCCAGCCCTAGCTGTTGTGGACTTTTGGGGAGTGAACCAGTAAATGGAAACTCTCTCTCTCTCTCTCTCTCTCTGTCTCTGTCTCTGTCTCTGTCTCTCACACACACACCCCTCCCTCACAAATAAATATTTTTTTAAAAACAATTCTTTGATGATTCAGTTTTATTTCTCTTTGAAGGATCCATAAAACTAAAGAGTGGGGGCCGGTGCTGTGGCATAGCAGGTTAAGTGTTGCCTGCAGTGCCAGGATCCCATATGGGCACCAATTCGAGTCCCAGCTGCTCCACTTCTGATCCAGCTCCCTGCTAATGTGCCTGGGAAACAGCAGAAGATGGCCCAAATGCTTGGTCCCCAAAAATTCATGTGGGAGACCCAGATGAAGTTCCTGGCTCGTGGCTTCGGTCTAGCCCAGTTCTGGCCTTTGCAGCCATTAGGGAACTGAATAAGCAGAGAGAAGACTTCTCCCTCTCTGTCTCTGGCCCTCCCTTTCTGTAACTCCTCTTTTCAAATAAATAAATCTTAAAAAAAAAAAAAGCTAAAGGGTGTATGTTGAGGGGACAGGAAGAATAGGTAAGTCAACATTTCCAAATAACGCATTCTGGGGCTGACGCTGTGGCGCAGCAGTTAAAACCACCTGCAGTCCCGGCATCCCATCTGGGTGCTGCTTCTAGTCCTGGCTGCTCCACTTCTGATCCAGCGTTCTGCTATGGTCTGGGAAAGCAGTAGAAGGCAACCTGAGTGCTTGGTGCTTGGGCTCCTGCACCCACATGGGAGACCTGGAAGAAGCTCCTGGCTCCTGGCTTTGGATCAGTGCAGCTCTGGCCATTGCAGCCAATTGGGGAGTGAAGCAGTGGATGGAGACTTCTCTCTCTCTGCCTCTCCCCTCTCGGTATAACTCTAATTTTCAAATAAAAATAAGTATTTAAATTAAAAATATATATAAAAATAAATAAAGCATTCTACCCTGAATGCTAAATCTTTCCTGCAAAAGTATCTGACCCCGCTTCTAGAGAAAGGATGTATGTGTACAGAATTGATAGATATCTAAAATATTAATGTTTACAAGCAAGTCATGTTTGTATTGGATTAGCATGTTTTATCACTAACTATACAGAAGGGATTTCAAATATCACTTTTAAAAAACAACAGGAAAACCTTCTTTGCTGTATATCCTACCTAGTCTGTGAATCTGTATACCTGGAGACATGTATAAGAATGCCTAAATGAGCCTCGAAACCATCATAACCGGAAAGAGCCCAATGTCTGCCAGTACAATGCACACATAAACAACAGCATGTTCTTACTAATGGAATGTTCTGCAGCAGTGAAAAAAATAAATCCAGGCTACGCACACAAAAAGAACAGGGTTGTGGCCAGCCTAAGGCAGCAAGGGTGCAAAATTTAAGGAGTCACTCACAGATTTTGCATTTGCACAAAGACACGATAAATATATACAAGGGTACTTCAAAACATTCATGGAAAAATGGAATAAAAAATCAGTCTCTTTTGATGGAAAAAAACTGAAATCCACGCATAGTTTTTTCAGAACATGCATTTTCCTGGAACTTTTTAAAAATGTTTTATTTATGTATTTCTCCTATTTGAAAGGCAGAGAGAGAGAGAGGCAGTCAGAGATCTCTGAACATTTGATTCACCCCCAGATGTCCACAGCAGATGCAGCAGGGCCAGGCCAAAGCCAGGAACCGGGATGTCAACTCAAATCTCCCACATGAGGGCAGGGACCCACTTGATCCATCGCCTGCTGCATTTCAGGGTGCCCATTAGCAAGCTGGACTCAGAAGCAGACTCAAGACTCAAATCTTAGATACTCTAATACGGGATGCAGATGCCCCAAGATGCAGCCTTTTTTTTTTTTAAGATTTATTTTATGTATTTGAAAGGCAGAGTTAAAGAAAGGGAGTTATCTTTGTCCCCTGGCTCACTCCCCAAACAGCCACAACAGCCAGGGCTGGGCCAGTCTGAAGCCAGGAACCTCTTCCGAGTTTCTCACTTGGGTGCAGGGGATCCAAGGACTTGAACCATCTTCTGCTGCTTTTCCAGGCACATTAGCAAGGATCTGGGTCAGAAGAGGAGCAGCCAGGACTCAAACCAGTGCCCACATGGGATGCTGGCACTGCAGGCAGGGGCTTTACCTGCTATGCCACAGCGCCGGCCCCCCAAGCTGCATCTTAACTATTGCGCCAAATGCCCAGGCTTCAGTGAACTTTTTGAAGTCTTCTCATGTGCAGCGACTTCCTATCTTTTTTCACTAAAATAAGCATTCTCTTTTAATTCCATGAACTTTTTGAAGTACCCTTGCTTTGCTCACTATCGCCTAACTCAACTCATTGTTGGAGCTGCAAGGACAAGCAATAGAGTCACGACCATGGGAGTGAGGCTGTGGTCATGTTAGGAAGGAGAAAGGTCGCACCAGAGTGCGTAGGCCAATGACACTGGACTTCTCACTCCCGGGAGGGCAGCTACACGGATGCTCACCTTATAACCATCCTAGAACTGGACATGTCATTTGTGCGTGTGACGTAGGAAAGTCACTTTTCACAACCTGAAAAGGAAAAGGAGAGTTAAGAGTTAAGAGTTAAGCAAACATTTCTACCACAAGTTGATATGTTTCAATATTAATATACTATTCCTGGGAACAGAGATTATGTTTTCTTTTAGTCATACCAAACATGAAGACCTTTGAGACAGAGGATTCCATAAGCAACCATGTGACGGACAAGTGGCTAACGGGAACA